ACGGGGTGGAGTTGCTAACCCCGCGCCCAACCCTCCCCCTTTCTCATCCTGGACTTGGGACCAGGTAAAGGCGGAGGTTGGCATGTTTGGTGTGACGGGGATTCAAACCCGCGACCCTCAGATTACGAGTCGAGCGCCCTAACCACCTGGGCATACCGGGCCTTTTCCTATAAATAGACACTCCGAATCATTAATACGAAAATTGCTGAGAGTTAGTTTGTAATGTTATAAAACTGTGCAATCACGGTAAGAAATAAATAGCTCAGTAAAGTTTCAAAGTTATCTTTTTTTTTCAGAGAGAAAATCTGATTTCATAATAATAAAGAAGTGAATTAAGCCGCATTAATAAGAAAAGCACTATAACATTAATTATGATAAACACTATGACGGTAATTACGACAAGTATTACTACAGTATTTTTATGACCGTATTTTCTTTAAATGTAAAACTGTACTAACAATAAAAAAGCAGAAATGGTTCGATGTGTTTTTTAACAATGTTCATGAAGGTTACGGTCTTCACCTTGTCAGAATTACGTATTAAGGAATTCATTGTCCATGAAAGCATTTGAAGTCTATGGCTTGTCTCAGAACGAATGAAGTATCATGAAGGTTACGGTCTTCACCTTGTCAGAATTACGTATTAAGGAATTCATTGTCCATGAAAGCATTTGAAGTCTATGGCTCGTCTCAGAACGAATGAAGTATCATGAAATTATCCGCCATATATGATTATGTAGAACGTGAGTCATAATGTTAAGCGTACCGGCTACAGATTGAAATGTTTGAGGTTCGAGACACGACACCGTTGGAACGTTCCACACTTTCAGCTGTGGTGCCTTTATAAACGAATAGCTACATATTGGCCTCATTTTGGTTAATACCCCGGTGGCTCAATGGTAAGTGTGAGGGCTTATAAGTTATAACGCTAAAAATAGGATTTCATTACTCGCAGTGGGCACAGCACATATAGCCCATTGTGTAGCTTTGTACTCTGTTCAACATTTTAAATTAGGGACGACTATGCCCGAGTCTTGGGGGTCTTTGACCAGACTGTTTATCTTATGTTTCGCATAAGGTACCGTTCTGGTTGAAAATACCAAATGCCAGACTAAACATTAAATTCTGTACAAAATGAAATTGTTTAGACTCGTAAATGATTTTTTGATCTGTAGCGTCGATTTCGTAGTCGGCTATTTATCCACCACACACACACTTCTGATGTCACTCTATGGGGAACACATGCTAAGCAATAATATGGAGAACATGCACGTGGAAACACATGCTAAGGAAGAATTTGGCGAGCATGCACATGGAAACACTGTGTGTTGAGATAATGTTTACCATTCCTGAAACAGCCAATCATCTGATGATAGTGTTTACCGTATTTGTTTTATATTCCGATTTGAAGGTCTCACGGATCAAATTGGCTTAGTTAGAAGTATACAACAGCAGAAATAGTATCGTAGGCTAGTGTTACAATAGGCTAACGCCATGTGCAAAATGTTATTACATGACTGATCAGATCTTCAAAAGAGTAGAAGCTTCAGTTTCTTTCAGCATATCTAATTTTGTTCTATTTGTTGTTTATGGTAACTTATTTTCAGAGTATCTAAATTCTGCACGCTTTACCGACTACTCTCTGAACGACGGTTATCCCTTCACTGAGTCTACAGGGTGTCCCAAAAGTCTGGATCCATAGGGAAAATAGACATTATATTTTTAAAGTTAAACAAACACGTTTCTAATGTTTGTTGTGCATAGTTCAGGAAAGAAAATACCTTGATGGCACAATATACCAAGAATTGATATGTGTATATCTATTAATGGCATGCAATTTTAATGATAAATAAATTAAGAATACATTGTGTATTTCTCCCTAAAGGTGCAGACTTCTGGGGCATCCTGTAGTCAGTGTCTAACTTTCTAGCTGAGTCAAATTACATTGAAACACAGCATTAGACACTTGCAATAACATGCTCCATAGGAATGTTTAATATTTCGTTGTTGACATAATGTTGAAAGAGATTTAAATACATCTTTACAAGTAAAAGGTCATACTAATATTTGTATAAATGAAATATTTTTTCCTGCATTGTTGACCTTGTTCAGAAAGACTTGACACACTTTATAGACTTTAATGAACTTAAACTCAAACAGAGTAGAGAAATCAATAACACGAACTAAAAGAAAATCAGATCTTGTTCGTTAATTTTTTATATCATGTACAAATCCACATGTGAGTTTTTAGGATGAGCTCTTAGTTATCGATTCCCCCACTCAGATATAGGTTGTCAACCTAAATTTAATAATCTTGCTTACGTGATTTGCAAGATATAGCAGTATAAACTGTACTAGGTGGATGTAGTGTTAATTTAAGTTTATATGTAAATGTCCTTTCGGGAAAATCTTACAAAAAAAAGGTAACTTTTCAAGATACTATTTAAGCATCACGCCCATTTTCTTATAAGTTGAAGCTGAAGAAGTAAAGAGTTAAATCCTGTGGAAACAACATATATGAGATTCAGTAAGATAAAGACAGTAGAAGAAATATACAAGTAAAGAGAAATTGCAAAGAAAATTATCCTAGCAAGTAATTGGACCTATTATCGGTATTAAGGGCTTTTAACGATGTTGAACCGTCCAAAAGGATAAAGGGCAGATTAATTTTATTCTGAAAGAGTAGGAGAAGCAACAATTCTAGAAGTAATATACACGTGTCATATACGTGCAGCTTTTGGTTATTTCTGTTTCTTCCAACGTAGTATGCTTTGATCTATATCCTTCGCGTGTTATTTGATATCGTTAAAGGTGTTTAATGCGGTTCATTAATCCAGTTTATTTTAACTCTTCGTCTCTTCTGTTGCCCTTGTTTTTCTGGTTCATTCTTGCTGTTCGTTAGATTAGAATGTTTTTAACTTAAACAAGAATTACGCTATACTTTTAGAATTATCCGTCTGGCAAATTTTGGCAATAGATGTTTATGGAGACATTGAAAACTTAAATTAATATTGTATATATATTTTACACAAACGCGTAGGGTGATACCCTACAGATGATACACAACTCGTCAGTTACATTTACAAAAAAAATAGTGTTTTCAGTATTTGTTAGAAGAGAGATAAAATCATAAAAGTACAAAATCATTTTTACCCTAGTGACCCAACTGTTTCAGAATTAGAGAGAAACATATTATTTCATTGCTTACTTGATCGTGTTTATTCATGTCATTATTGGTCAGTTTGACATTTTCGAAAGAAACCACCTGCTTCTTTAGTTGGTCTCCAGTAAAAGGCGAATCTCGGTGGGGATAAAGGCGGGCCAGGGAAGGAGGGTTAGCTTTACCAGCAACCTGCCAAGATGACTGATGATAAACGTAGCGGTAACGCTTGTTGTCCACCGGGACAACGTCTAGTAGTACAGCATACTTCGTGGCTGGGTTGAGACCACTAAAACACACCCTGATTGTGGGAAACATGCGCCTGAGACAGAAAATATCAAGATAATGTTTGGTTTTAGTGTCAAAATCAATACATTGCAGAAGATCAGAAGTTGGTTAAAACAAAGTTCTATAGCAGTTTAAAATGAAGAACAGAAATAGTTGAGATAAAAGATTGGAATTATTGGAAAAGTATCAAAATTTGGTTAAGTTCTGATGAAGCCAAACAATTAGTAAGATTGCACTATGGAATATTTTATACTTACAGACCATAGTTTATATAATTATGAAAACAAACGTTTACTTTGAAAAGATCATGGCGATTTTGGTTTTATTTGTTCGTTTAACATTTATACGCCTAAATATATATGTCTGTAATTTATATCAATGCAAACTATATTACTCCAACACGTTTAATCACCAAATTATTTCAGCCATGTGAGTAAGATGTCAACAACACATTGGCAATGTACACCAAGTTAATTTGCTAAATAAAAACACATTACAAATAAAAAACAAGAAGCTTGTAGTATCATCTAGTGGTTATAGTTAACTATCGTATAGCTCGGCAAGTAGTACCACCCCCACCCCATAGTATACCCTAACCTCAAATTTCATAACTAACTGAAATAAATAAATCTTGCGAAATCAAGCTTGACCAACAAAGAGGCTGAAAAGTGCAGTCGAGACAGTCAAAAGTCGGTTAATTCCTTTGTGAGCCAATCACAATTAAGATCATTCATAAAATTAATTCGTGGCGTATTAATAGAATAATTACTGGTAAAAATCAGTCAGATTAACAACTTCTAATATATAGAAAAGCCCGTGCGTTTTGGTAACACTACGTTCCAACAATGGTTTTTATGTCATGTTGCTCAGTAATAAAGTATAACCTAATATTTTTGTTAGTCTATGTACTGAAAGTATAAAGTGAAATATATATAGAAAACAAAACTGGAAAAATATTTTTTAATATTTTAATTTAGAGTCCCCGTTGATTAAAGAGGTTTTTTTATTATTAAAAACGTTGGTCATATAATAGAAAATAGTTTAATCAGAAACGATTTAAGTTTAAAATTTAATCGATATTTTTTACTTTAATGATAAATTTTATGCATATGGCTCAAGACTACATGATCCCAACATTACGTCTTTACTTTAGGCATATTATACAAACACTCACTACACTTATAAGGTTTCACGGCAGCCCCCTCACGGCCCCCTTGCTCCCCCATTACTAAAATCGTAATGGGCAGACAGTAATCGAACTATTCTATCTGGATAAATGCATTTTGGCTTTTGTAACTCCTCCTATTTTGGGAAATGAAGCTTGACGTGACACATAATGGCTTTTTATAGGTTAGATGAAATTAAAAGCTTTTATGTCTTTCCTTAGTTAATAATCACATATTTAACTGAGGAACGCATTAGTATAACAAGAAACAGTTTTATTTCATCTGTATTATTGCCTTATATCTTCACTTAGTGGACATTAATTTGTGATTTTCACAGTAAACTCCTTCACACCATATATGCATATTGCAGGTACTTACGGTGTGAAAAGTACATTTTCTGTGCTCAAGCCTGATACGTGTATTTACACAATTTTTTACACCATTATGTCTTTACGGCTGCTTTAATTAATCTCTGGCCAAAATGAACAGTAAGTGAAAGAAGTTGCAGAGTTTGCAAATGAATGTTCACGTGCTATATGAGGACAATGTATATTTAATTTATTTCTACAACAGACACACAAACAACAGGCACAGTGTCCATTGGAGTCGTATCAGAATACTTGAAAGGTACACTGTCGAATGTGATTATTCCAGTTTTTTCTGCCACCTTTTCCACATAAATCAACCATTAATTTCAAGGTGTGTGACTCGTGAACTTCTGGCCTGTGAGTCCTTTTTGTCTTCAAATCCTCGTTTACGGTTTGTTTGTTTGTTTTGAATTTCGCGCAAAGCTACAAGAGAGCCACCTGCGTTAGCCGTCCCTAATTTAG